GGGGGGGGGGGGGGGGGGGGGGTGGAGGAGAAAATGCTTTATATATGCATGCAACCTGCGCGCGTAATGCATAATTTAACAAGAAGCCTACAACTCGCTAGCACTACCCAATCAGGCTGTAAACAGCTTACATACGACAGTTGTAGGCAAATATTTTGAAGTGTTCATCGACCTTTCGAGAAATACTCGATTCAATAATCATATCAAATCAGAATAAGATGAGCCAGAGTAATTTTCCAGAAAGACCAATGTAAATATGCTGAAACTACAGTAGAGAAGCGAAAAATCCAAGATGAACTAGTGTTGTATGTGTAGTCAAAACAATAAAAGCAGCTTTAAATGACACCGTGTTTACTACGCTTTTGAAGTAGCATTTCAGTTCAATTTAATTTCAGAACAGCGATATTGTAATTCATGAGTGATTACTTGAGATTCAGTTCAAATGAGGAAATGATACCAAACGTACTCGAAACGACAAAAAACTCGCCAATTGACAGTCGTTCGGCAACCAGAGCACTATGGTCTGCCTGCCTCTCAATTCTCTGTATTTTTCAAGATTTAATTTCTTATATTTGTGGCTTATTTTTTTAGATTTTAAGGTGCACATGAACCCTTTGACCAGGGATATTAAGTGACTGTGACGTCTATTAGGCTTTAATACTAATATTCAAAATTGAACTGTTTCACACCAACAGTATATAAAGAGCATCATTGTTTTACTCATGGTTTACATCAATGTAACTTCAGATTCATTTCCCCACATAATGGCCAGAATTCGACAGAATTTAGTATTACGAGTTAAATTGAAATACACTCACAGACGTTGTACCGGAGGTCACAGTCATTAACATAATGAAAATATAAACCTATATAACTTAAAGAAGAATCACTCAAATCAAGAAATATTTTACCATTTTAAATATTTATCTCGCGTAGAATCAGTACTGGAAGTATTGTCAAAGTGTTCATGTGCACTTTAACACTGGAAAATTACACCATATTTGTTTTAGAATTACGACATTTGTCAGTATATAACGTTATTAGCATGATAGTATACTTCCTGGTCGAAGTTAGTCGAAGTTGGTCGAAGTTAGATAACAAAATGTTTTACTTTCACTTTGAATGCCGTGTATTCAGTTGTCCAGACACAGCTACAATAAAGTACAATATAGGAAAGACATTGGTCTTGTACTCACCTAGTTAATTTGAACAACCTAGTAAACCACAACGTTGCAAGCAGAATATTCACATTCGCTCTCGCTCTCGCTGCTGACATGGAATATGCAAAACAAAAGCCATAAGGTAAACAGTGCTGCTGCTGACGCGTCACATTCCAAGCATAACTTTAAGCACTAGGCCAGCGATTTTGAGGTCAGAGGTAACCAGGGRAAAAGTACATCTTTTGAAAGAAGGAAAGGAAAAAAGAAAAGAAAACGCGAGCCCGCGTATTATCTGTATTTATATAGCACGAGGGATTGATTTAAACATGAGACAATTGATGGATGACGCACGACGAGTATATGACAACGCTTCTTAGTGTTCTGATCGATCCCAAATGCTGTATAACTGCACAAAGCACAGCAGACAAACTTTTCAAATTTCTTTTATAGCTAGAATACACATTATTCTKTCGTGCACGCCGTGTGCTCTTATAGAGCACGCCGGCCATGACCAATCGGCAGAGTTCGCGTTTTATATACGACTYATTTTATAGCGTAATTTTGAAAGTTCACAGAAGCATATAAAAATTAATCATATTTTTTCTTTATTTTGCTGATTGAAATTGACATCCATAATTTTGCCCTAAGGGAGTCTGACTTAACATTCAGTGATGGTTGTTGCATTTCAATTAGTAACATTTTATATGACAAACCATCTAATTCTGTTTTGCACTTCTTAATAACCATGGAGTTGTTGGTCAGTTTGCTGATGAGGGTAATCTTATTTGCACTCGATCATTTAAGAAAGTTTAGTTTACTTGACTTGGCATCACTGCACATCTGCGACGTATGCAATCCCCAAAGTCTAAAAGACGTATCTCGTTTTCCATAAAAGACAACTTGTGGATATTACATTTTGTTGTGGCTTCGGATCCATGCCGACAGTGAGTGGTAGTTCATCACAGCTCCTCTGCAGAAATTAAAGAAGGCCGTGCTGAAAAAATAGCAGGTCTTATCACAGCTGGCTCGTTTAAAGTTAAAAGAAAAATCTTATCGTATTATTGAAAAGCACTCTAGCGAATCCGTCATTCCAAGTCGGTACCTTC